TGAATCTCATGGTAACCACACATCAAAACCTAGACTAGATACACAAAAAATAAAGAGAAAGAAAACCAGTCATAACACTACAGAAAGTCACCAATCACAAGAAAGAGAACAAGAAGAAAGGAACAGAGAACTATAAAAACAACCAGAAAACAATGAACAAAATAGCAAAAAGTACATACCAATCAATAATTACTTTAAATGTAAATGGTCTACATGTTCCAATAAATGAAAACACAACAGTTCAAAGTGTTTCTAATTCAGCTAAACCAATTTTAAGAGGTAAGTTTTTAGCACTACAGGCCTGCCTCAAGAAATGAGAAAAACCTCAAACAATCTAACCTAAAGGAAGTAGACAAAGAAGAACAAACAAAGCTCACAATTAGTAGAAGAAAGGAAGTAATAAAGATCAGAGAAGAAATAAATGAAAAAGAAACTAAAAATAATAGAAAAACATCAATGAAACCAAGACCTGCTTCTTCAAAAGATAAACAAAATCAGTAAGCCTTTGGCCAGACTGGAGGGAAAAAGAGAGAGGACCCAAATGAATAAAATCAGAAATGAAGAAGGAGAAGTAACAACTGACACCACAGAAATACAAATGATTGTAAGAGCGTACTACAAAAAAATTATATGTCAACAAATTGGATAACACAAAAGAAAGAGATAAATTCCTAGAAAACATACACTCTTCCAAAATTGAATCAGGAAGATACAGAAAATCTGAATGGTAATGAAATTGGATTTGTAATTAAGAAAAAACCTCACAACAAACAAAAGTCCAGGACCAGATTCACAGGTGAATTCTGTCAAACATTTAAAGAAGAATCAATACTTACTCTCTGCAAACTATTCCAAAAATGGAAGAGAAAGGAAAACTTCAAATACATTCTGCAAGGCCATCATTACCCTGATACCAAAACCAGATGAAGATAGCTATCTGCAAAAGCAATGAAACTGGACCACTTTCTAATACCACACACAAAAATAAACTCAAAATGGATTCTAAATGCGAGACCTGAATCCACAAAACTCCAAGAAGAAAACATAGTAATTTCTCTGATACTGGCCTTTGCAACATTTTTCTAGATATGTCTCCTCAGGCAAGGGAAATAAATGCAAACATAAACTATTGAGACTACACTAAAAAAAAAAAAAATATCCTTTGCACAGTGTGAAGGAAACCATCAACAAAACAAAAAGACAGTCTACTGAATAGGAGTAGGTATTTGCAGATGATATATCCAAAAAGGAGTTAATATCCAAAATATATAAAGAACTTATACAATTCAACACTAAAACAAACAATCCAATCCAAAAATGGGCAGAAGACCTAAATAGACATTTTTAAAAGAAGACATACAAATAGCCAAGAGACACATGAATAGATGCCCCATATTACTAATCATCAGAATAACGGAAACCAAAACCACGAGATATAACCTTATAACTTATTAGAATGGTTTGAATCAAAAAGACTAGAAATAACTAGTGTTGGTTTGGATGTGCACTGTCGGTGGGAATGTAAATTGGTGCAGCCACTACAGAAAACAGTATGGAGGTTTCTAAAAAAAATTAAAAATAGAAATACCCTATAGTCCTGTAATTTTCCTACTGGGTATTTACTCAAAGAAAATGAAAACACTAATTCAAAAAGATATATGCACCCATATGTTTATTGCAACATTATATATAATAGCCAAGATATGGAAGCAACCCAAGTGTCCATCAATAGATGAATGAATAATGAGTTCTCTCTCTCTCTCTCTCTCTCACACACACACACAAATCAGAGATAGATCCATAAATACAGAGAATAAAGTGATGGTTGCCAGAGAGGAGAGGGGATGGGGGTACTGGTAAAGTGGATGAAGAGGAGAGGGAGATACAGGCTTCCAGTTTTGGAATAAATAAACCATGGAGGTGAAAGGCACAGTACAGGGAATACAGTCAGTTGTACAGGTAGCTACACTTGTGAGCATAACATAATATACAAAATTGTCAAAGCATCATGTTGTACACTTGAAACTAATGTAGTATCATGTGTCAACTGTATTTCAATAAAAAATTTTTAAAAAGGTAGGCATTGTATAGCAAACTCAGTACTTTTATTTTTTTCTATGAACAGAACTAATTGAGGGTGTTGGTGTAAAGGGAGGCAGACGGTTGCCCTTTAATGGCCAGATGTGACTTGGAATGGAAAGAAAAGTGTCAAGAACTGGAACTGAAAGACCGCTCAAATGACACCTAGGCTGAGGTACTGAGTGTCTATTCTAAAGCAGAAATGAAGTTTGGGAAGAGTGGGGTGATTACATGTTTTTTGAGCCTAGTGCTCAGCATTTTACAGTTGACTGTAACCTGAAAGTCACTTTTCTTAGCCTAAATCCTTCTCCTTACAGATCAGAACTTACAGTTGATCTCAAAAGACAAGCTTTGTTCCTTGCTATACAATTAAACTTGGGTTTCTTTTCTGAGCTTCTGCCATCTGCACACCTTATGTTATTGGGACAGAAGACTGGTACATGCTATTTCTTACTGAGAATAACATCAGAAATATGGATTCACCCTCTGCAGGACAGTGCTTCTGCCATTGCCCATGAGATAGAAGTCAAGAACTCAACAGGAAAGAGACATGAGGCATAATTAGTTTTATTCTCCATGAGGAAGTTATTTCACAAATAATGAGGCAGAACCTCTCCAATTTTAATAATAATGGAGTGTAGTTCACTGAAATTACTGAATCAAATTAATGAGTTAGCTACTGATAAGAATAAAACAACAAGATAATAAATGCAAGGGTATTTTTTTGCCCCCAGATGCCATTTAAACATATGATTTGAGAAGAGTCAAGTTTCGATTCCTAACCAGCTATCGCCTTTCCTTTAAATAGAGAATATAGGACATAGGGCTCTTTGGAGGTATACAGCTGAAATTATTCCTCCTTGAAGCAGAAAATGCAAGGGCAATAATAATAATACTGCATATGGTTAAGTGTAGAGAACTCAGGTGACAGTCCACCAAAAAAAAAGCTCAAGTCAGCTTCCTCTTTGCCAAGGAAGAGGCTCTGCAGATGGAGGCAGCAGCAAAAGCTCAGCCTCCTGTGTTCTATTTCCAATGCACGCCCTCTTCTGTTTCTCTCATCATTAATTTCTGTGCTCCTCCCTTTGCCCTCACAAAGAAGCACAAAACTACTCATCAGGCAGTGGGAAAAATGATAACCAGTAGCATTCTAGACATTTCATTACTCAAATCAGCATAAAGTGATTATATGAAATCCCTAGGAAATTGAAGTCGCCTTCTTTTCACTTTTAAAACTGTACTTTGACTAATAGAAAGTCCATCTTATTTAACGTCATCTAACAAGCCCCCCCCCCCCAAATCTCTTTCTCTTCTTTGACCACAGTTTATAATCTGGAGTGTTATAAAGCGTTCTTCTGATCTAAACTAGCAACTTGACTAGATTCATTATTCACTTTAAACTAATGAGATTATTTGTTCAAGTGATGTTATTAATGGATTGCATAATATCCATCAGATAAAATACTAATACAATCTTGAAAACAAGCGAATTAAGTCATCATAGGCCTAGAAAAGCAATGACTGAGGCTGCCAGGATAGTCTGATTCATAGTAAATTCAGACCGAAATAATGTCTCAGACTGTTTTCTCCTATTATTATTTTTCGTGCGTGAAATAAATCTGTGAAGCCAACAAAGACTAACCAAATGTACGAATTTGAACTTCTAATGAATACAATGACATTTAAAAGTCTCAAAGGCCACCCTCATAACACTAAAGTAATTCCACCGAAGTCAAAAACAATTTAAAAATATTTAGAGAAAGGGCCCAGCAATGTCATTAGTATATATTGGCTAGAGGCAAAGGGTAAGGGGGATGAAGCAGAGATATTCTATATTTTATTATAGCCTAAAATCAATTGTAGCCTTCTCTTATTAGAAGCATTCAATACTCATTAAAAATATTGTCACCCATAAGGTGATGTTTTGACACTGCCATATATCTTACATAGTTTTATTAACCAATATCATGTTTAATCATTAAAACATTTCTGCTCATGTGTATTTGTGTTTCCCGGGGGGGGGGGAAATTACAGTAAAGTGATAGCTTATATTTGTATAGCAACATAATTTATAACTGCATTACCTCTTTGGATTTTAAAACTCAACTGTGAAGTTGATGAGAAAAGCATTATTTCCCCATTTTGCAAAATAAACAAAGACAGTAAGAGGCTGGTACAAAATCACCTGGTATTCAGCTTCAAAATCCAGGCATTTTTTTTTCATTGAGCTTTGCTCTCCCTTGATTTGCCCTTTGTGTAGTAGGAAGGGCAGAAATGTCACCTCCCTTTAGAGAGGAGATTAAAATTAAAACAGCAATAACCCCTGGTGAAGAAAATGCTCCTGACAAAATTCTGACTGGTCTCTTGATTTATTAAAAGCAGTGCTTAGAACAAAAGGGAATAAAAGTTATACAATTTTTAATTTCCCTGTCAAAACTATGGAATCAGATTGTTGAACCTGATTCTTTATATGCAAAGGTAAAACATGAGCTGAAATTAATGCTAGGTCATGACCTAGCATTCAGACTATTACATGTACAGATGCACACACACATATGTATCGATACACTTTTTTTCCAAAGGGATATGAACAAATCATTCACCTCATCTTCAAAACAGTATTTAAATACATTGCAAAACAGCACAGAACAAAAATGAGTCACTCAACCCCAAGGGGTTAGATTTTATGACTGACTTTGGATAGATAATTAAAACAATAATAATCACAAAAATGAATCTGTCCTCCTTGACTATCTGCTAAGAATTAGGTCCAGATCATTTTGACTTACACATGTAAATTTTATAATACCACTACCTTGCTTTGATGTAGTATTTTAATTTTTCAGGAGGCTTTCACATGCTAATATACACTGTTACACTTCTGGGCTTAATGAGAAAATGATCTTCCTGTCTCTGGGCCTCACCTTGTGAAGTCTGTCATTTCCATCATGATCATACACATCTGCTTGGCCAGCACAATTATATCATTGCCGCTGTCATCCCATTTGGCCACTTCGGCATCCAGCTTGCTTTTCTCTTGGTGGAATATCTCCACCTGCTCAGCTATTTTTGCCTTCTCCTCCTGCGGTAGTTGCGCCATGATGGCCTGTGTGGGTTACAGAAACAGTGTGACTAATGGTGACAAAGTAAATACAGACAGTAGGTTGACTCTGCCTCAAGCTAATGGCAAAGCCAGACCCTGACCAGGTTTACAGGCTGCCCCACCATTCCAGAAAGGATGTTTTCTCCATTCCTAGGAAGGCAAAAGCGCAGACTGGTAAGGTCCCCCAAATCCCATCCCTATTCTTATACACAGAAAATATAGAGATCCAAAAGGTAGGTGCACACTGACAGTAAGAGAACTTCTGTGTCTCTCTGATGACATATGTTTGTTCAAAAGAATCTATTCTTGACAATTTTTATATTTGGTCTCAGGAAACTTTTACCAGATGAAAGAATGCACCTCTTTCAACACTGAAATCTGTTCAGAGAAGGAAAAAAAAAAGAAAAAGAAAAAGAAAAAGAAAAGGCTTTCTGTCGCTAGGAAGGACAGGAATTTTAAACAATATCTGAGCATCCAAGTTGGGGGTGGGGTGGGGAGACTTGCCATGAGCGTTAATGAAGGAATCCACGGTGAGATACCTAACAATCCCCTAGCCCAGGGTATTTCAGGGATGGCATACCTAGACCCAGCCCTCTTCCACCTCCTCTGTGCAAATCCTGAGGTAACCATGGCTAACCACAGAGCCTAGAAGTATGTAGAAGAAGTTGTGATGGGATAAAATACAGGTTTAGGAAGCAAAGGTCGATTTTCAATAGTTGCTCGGGATGGGAATGTAGAAAAGCAAGAACTGATTCTCGTCATTCATGGATTCTTTATTTACAAGTTTGCCTATTCTCTAAAACTTATTGGCAACCCTAAAATCAAGACTTCTGATACTTTTGGTCATTCACAGACAAGCACAGAGTTGCAAAAAAAATGAGTCACCTAACAGGCCTGTTTCCAGATGTGGCTGAACAACAAATTTTCTGTCTTCTTGTTTCAGCACTAAACAAGTGTCCTTTCTGTCGCCTATTTAGTGCCACATTTTCCACGTCTTTGTGCTCTTTGTTGGTAATTTTGCTATTTAAAATGGCCCCCATGCATAGTGCTCAAGTGCTGCCTAGTGCCCCTAAGAACAGAGAGGCTGTGATGTGCCTTACGGAGAAATATACGTGCGTTAGATAAGCTTCATGCAGGCAGGGGCTATAGTGCCCTTGGCCATGAGTTCAATGATAATGAATCAAAACTATAAAATAAAGTATCTGAGAAGAAACATTCATTAAACATTATTTATTGATTGGTTGAAACAAAATGTTGAGACTAGCAGCTCTCAGGAACCTAACGCTCTATTTCCTCTAGAAGCAATGACTCTATAGTTGCTAATTAAGTGTTCATGGTGACTTTACAGAATATAAGTATCACAAATGAAGACAATCAACCATATCTGTTAAACACCATGTATATAGCAAGCCCTGAATGCAATGTTTGGCATCACCTCATTGCATCTTCTTAGAACCATGTGCAACCTGATTCAGAGAAAGGACATGTGGGTAAGTATGACAGCACTAGTAGCCCTATGGTTCTGGGATATGTGTATTCACCAATGAGAGCATGATTTGGGGAACTTACAGCTTTTGCAAAGGACAAGTAAAATAACACATACAAGAAAACTCTGCTTCCTTAATTATAAAGCTCCTCCCAATGTAAGTGAATCGTTGGAAGGAAAGGTAGTTGATTTCTTTCTCTTTTTTTTACTTGGTTTTATTTAAATTCAAGTTAGTTAACATATAGTGCGTTATTAGTTTCGGGGTAGAATTTAGTGATTCATCAGTTGCATAGAACACCCAGTGCTCATTACATCAAGTGCACTCTTTAATGCCCATCACCCAATTACCCCATCCCCTTACCCAGGGTAGTTGATTTCTAATAAAAACATCAATGGACATAAGCTCCAAAAAACTGGGCTCAATGGGCTCTGTCACTGACTTCGGTTAAGACCTACTTGTTACTGGATCATATTCTTAACTTCTTCAGATCTAAGTATAGTAAACAATTACCTCAAAGTGTTATGGTGGACAGCAAATGAAATAATAAATGTGTTTTGTCAAAAAAATGAAAGCATATATGGGATTACTGCTAACATGTTATCATCATGTCTGTATTAGTTTTCCTTTCAGCTACCTCTCTAGCTTATTATCTAGGTGCCATGAAAGACAGGGATGGGCCCAGAGTCTACGGGACTATACATAAACAGAATATTGACAGGATTCCTTGAGTACAGAAATGTATACCAGGTCGTGTGCTAAGAGGCTTATGTTTATTAAAAAACTTAATTTACTTAATCACTCTACAAGATTAATAATAGTGTTATTATTTTATTAATGATGATACTAAGGCCCAGAGAAATTAAATTCTCAATATTACACAACTAATAAGCTGCAGGAATAGGATTCATACCCAGGTCAACTAACACCATGCTTAATTATTGAGCACAACTGGATCACCATGCACAACCATGCAGGTTAGACACTGCACAATGATCCCATCCCAGTGGGGCAAGGGTTGCTGAAATCACAAGCATTGTTCACCAGGCTGAGCAACCTAGAGATGAGGCTTTATCTGCCAGAGTAAGGGGTGTCTTTGATTTGCATGAAGGTGTCCCAGACTATTACCTGCACAGATACATTTTACTAATACACAGCCATGTTTACTAACTTCCATGCATGCATGTGTGTGACTTCATATAACTAGCATGTGAGTCTCTGTGTATGTGTGTGGGTGTGCATGTGTATATACAGAAATTACAATCCATATTTAAAAAGCCAGACTGCTACAAATACTATAGTTAAAATATTTAAAACACTATTTCTGAAAGATATTTTAAAGTACTTTAAAAACTGTATCCAAAAAAGGTGGTTAATATATAACCAAAGAGTTGGTTACAAACTCACATATACAATATTGTACTAATAACAAGACAGCTATTCCAATGCATTTTAGATAGATTTGGATTTGCAGAAGTTAAATATGCTCTTTTCTCCTGAAGCATCCTTGTCTGATGATCTTACACTATCCTACATTAATTTGTCCTCCTCATACAAAGCTGATAATCATGTTTTACTTAGACCTCACAAGTCCTGACCATCATCATTTAAGCCATTCACTAGGTGCTTCTCTGTCGAAGAATCTGTAAAACTACCCGGCAGAACTCCAGCCTCTACATTCAATCCCCAGATGGAAAGCAATGAAACTTTCATTGTCTCAAAAGTTAATTTGTGCATTGAAGGGTGTACACTTATCTTTCAACTGTATCACATGAGTTTCAATTGTATAATTTAGGATTTGAGTATTAACTGCCTTGCTCCACTCTCTAATTCCTATTAATGTTCTACTTCTGACTTCTTTCTGAGCTTCCTTAGGGTAGAGGTTTCAGCATCCTGCAAAGAATAGAAGCTCAATAAATATCTTTTGATTGACTGTGTAACCATTTTTCCACTCACTGCATCAACATAGTTCAAGAGAATTTACCAGAACTGACAAACATTTTCTAACGGCACAATTCTGAAGGGAAAAAAAAAAGGCCCCTTCAAAGCAGATTTGCAAAAGAAGATGTTATTTTGACTCTAGGGGTGCTCGACCCGCATAATGCACTTAATGGTGTGTGACTTGGGTGCAAGTGTCATTACATTTGCTTCTGCTTATGTAGCTATCGATGAGCCAAAGTCTTTTCCTAAATATTCTTAAAATGCTCCTGGCTTTTAAAAATTCATAACTGACCTTTTCTGAAGCTGGAATTAAAAAAAAAAAAAGGTTATCTATAAACAGATCACAAACTGAGAAATTTGCCAGTTAATCAAATTAAAATTCAACACATGAGTTTTAATTAGGTCTTATTAATATAACTCAGCAGTTTGAAATGTTAACACATTAAAGTCATTCTAGCTAGAAAAAAAAAGAGGCTGACTACATTCACATCAAGTTGAATACAAAATATGTAACATGCAATTTTTCCTTCCCTCAAACTAAGTGAACATGAGAAAAGTGATTTTCATGGCCAAAAGGAAAGGGAACAAATCAGCTTTTCTGTTTCTCTGATGTGATCACCTGGGGCGGTCTGAGAATTTCTGCTGCTTCTATGCACAGGAGTCAAGCACAGCTCTACAGATTGTTGATCTGGCTGATCTGGGGCCCGAAATTGTGGCATCAGAGACTTGAATCCACAGAATTTCCTGTGCCTCCACCCAGGCTCCCAGCCTTTCCTCTGAACAGCCAGCCATTTTTTTTTTTTTTTTGGTGATTGAAGTTATAAACTCTACTTACTAAATGAAAGTATAAATCACTGAAACAAGCCAATAATCACTCGGCCCAGAATCTTTTCTTCAACCTAAATCTCAGGAGCTTTTGATATGATTATTTTTCCAATCTCAAAGAGAGAAATGACATTTGAAGTCTATGGGCTTCCAAACTGACAAGTATTAGTTCCTTAAACTAGAGCAAGACTCTAACATTTAGGCTTCAAGTACAAGAATGTTTATAAATAATGATTAAAAGGGCTAAAACTCACTGTGTCCATTCCTACTCACTTGATTTTAAAGCGGAATAATAAATATAAGCAGTTAAAGAGTGGGTCCTTTGACTTTTACCAGTCTCAGACGATGAAGTAAATAGGAAAATTGAAGTAATTGTCCCATTTAGTCAAGTAAAAACTTCCATGATTTCCTAAATTGTCCATGCTTTTTTAAGTTCAATTATTTGACCAGCCTTGTAATGAAGAACTACCTTATGCTATAAGCATCATCATCATCTTCTTTGTCAACTTGAGAGCATGTGACACATCTTGTGATACATTTTACCATGCAGTTCTCTTAATGACATCATGAGGTAGAATGCTGTGCATGCACACACACACACACACACACACACACATACATGGATAAGACATGGAGAGGTTAAGAAAGTTGCCCAAAGTTACACAGCTTGGCCAAGCCCATATTTAAAATAAGGTCTGTGTGCCTCCAAATAATATATTCCATCACCAAGGTTAAGCGTCCAAGAGTTGTTGCTGACCAATTTTAACCACATCAACCTGTGAGGAAACAGTTTATAAGATGTCGTGTCTAGGATCATAAGGTCTGATTACTTCTACATTTGATCGGATCAGAGTATGATCATTCTCTGCCTCTCCCTTGCTCATAAAACGCTGTAGAGAAGCAGCACATAGGGAAACATAAAGGAAATAAACACTCTAATTTCAGAGTTTGGGAGAAAAGTTGGAGTGGATACTAAAAGCTTTTCTCCTACCTTAACCTCGTTTTAGATTAATTTACCCTTTTCAGAGAGGAAGAATTTATCTGAATGAGAACACAAAGTGAAGTCCATGAACATCGGGGAATGACTGGGTGCTGCAAAGAGCAACGACTTCTGTCAAAGACAACTTTTGCCTCCTGCTACCGTACTTCTCTGGTCAAAAGTTCGACCATCTGTCATCTCAGCAATTCAATGCACCCTCTTATTTCCAACTTAAAGCCATAATTCTAGGTCTCTGATTTGTCATCATATAATTACAGGCTAAAATAGGCTGACTCAATAACTAATGCTGTCTGCTGCAAGTTAATCACACAGACCACCTGATGGATCTCAAAGACAAATCAGCAAGTGCTGGATTATAGGGGTACTTTGTTCTTACCATCCTGGACCATGTTCATAATTCACGCTGAAAAACCTTTCAAACAAGACTATTGTCTTTTCACCAATTGGGTGAAAAAAATAATAAATGATACAGACAGGGGCTATCTGACTTTTGTTTCCACTTAATTGACTTGATATCTATCATAAGATGCATGAAACAGAAGTACAATGGGACTGCATTCTTCCTGGTAAGAAGTGGGACTAATCATGCCATTTTGACAAGATGGTGATTATAAAGTACGATAAAGGTAGTATAATATGCCTTGGTCTTTGAGAAAACAAGTCAATGGATACTGGACTGTTTCAATACCAAGTTGCAGTCAATCAAATTTGACTTTGAATTGATTAATGTTTGGATGAATTACTCAAATTTGCCCTTTATCATTGTTATAAAAATGCTGGTTTTACCTAATTTTGAAGATGAATTGACTTGATGGATGAATTGAGTGTTATGCCAACACAGGCTCAAAAGCCTTTCAGCTTAACGAATTTCTTAGTTTTCAACACTGGTGGGGGGAGTCGGGGGGGGGAGCTTACAGTCTACAAAAGATTTTCTAGGTAGGGTGTCTCATATTCTTTTGTGTACTTTTCTACTGTCACCAATCTGTGATCCAAAATAATTTCTCTTCCAAGGGATGACAATTTTTAGTCACCCTTTATTGAGTATTTAATGTATGTCAGGTATTGTGTTCATTATTTTACAAATATTAAGTAATTAAACCTCAAAAAGAATCCTATCAAGTAAGTCTATTATTCACATTTTACAGATAATAGGACTGAAGCTCAGAGAAATTAAGCAACATGTAATGGAGCATAGCATGGTCCTCACTCCACTCTTTACAATTCAAAACCAAGTCTGTCTAAAATCAAAGCTGGTGCATCTTTAATATTCTGGCTTTTACCCTCACATTTCCCCTATCAATGTCCATCTATATCTTGTGAATCATTTCATTGTTGCATGAAACTATCAGGACATAAAGCACGAAAGAAAAATTGGGTTTTAAGTACAAAGATTTTCTTGACTCAACATAAGGCTTAGTCTTCTTTGAGTCCTCTTTATTTTAACCCTGACTGGGTATTCCTACTCTTCTTTCACAATTCCTAAACCAATGTAAGCTTTCTGGGGTTTCCTAGCCACTATTCTAAATTACCACCTCTGTCTCAAACTCATGCGTCCTCTCCCTTATTTTTTCTTAAGTAAAACTTAACAGAGAATTAGAATGTAATTCTAATTAGAATATAATAAGAACACAATCTATAATGGGACTGTTTTTACCACATAAAAACTGAACCTTTAAAGGGAGGAGAATCTCACCTCCTTTTGTAATCCCCAGGGATTTAATCTCCTGATTACCTGCATCTACCCTCAAGGAGATACGATTAATAGAATTGGTCAGAATCCTCTTTTGACACACTTGTGTTGGCAGAGAGTGTCATGGAGTGCTCCAGAGTGTTCAAATGTCAGCCAGAGAAATGATCTTTCTGTTGCTTCCTGCTCCATGCCTTAAGCTGGCATATTTCTAGTATGTCTCGATAATTTCTTTCTCTATCATATGGCAGACAGATCTAGGGCTACTACCCTTGCCATAAATAGATATTGCGGAGGGGGTGGGGGAGTTCTGTCTCTATTTTGATGTCCTTGAACCAATTTCAAAGATGTGGTCTTATTCATCAGAGACGCTACATCAGAGTATGGAACAGTAACAGCCCAGCCATTAACAAAATAGTACTCTAATTTTCCATTTGTCATTGCCTCTTGTGTTAACAAGCTTGGTGACTTCAAGCCGCACTATGGTGTCTGTGCCAATGCAAGATCTGAGCATTCCTGTGTCCCCTAGCTGTTGAAGCATCTCATCATGATGCTAAACCCAACAAAATCCACTAGACTCTTAAACTGTTTGCATTGATGTGACTGCTAAGTTTCAAGTGATGGAGAGAGAATGGAGTTAACAGAAATCAGAAGCAGTGACGGTTATTTCCATTGTGTAAAATATGAATTGCTAAGAACAACCACAGATGAAAGCACAGAGCTATAAATCTCTGGGATTCCAAGACCCTGGATCAGGAATCTCCTCAAACCAATTTGGTGTACACAGTCCCAGTGCATGAAACCCAAGTCGTGAATGTCCACTCACCCGTGCACTCTGTCCCGCAATGAGCTGGTCGTCCTCAGTCTGAACACTTGTCCGGCTGCGCACATCGTAATCTTCCTGTTCAAAGTCAGAATCATCCTCTAGTTCTTCTGGGGTCTAAAGGTACAAAGGAAAAGAAAAGAATCAGCATATTTTAAATTGATAAACTTCAACTCCACCCATATATTCTGCGGCTGCAAAAACTAAGTAGCTCCCAGGAAAGAGATCTTGTGGGCAGTTACGTGTAGGGGGTTATGGAGGAGGGTATTGACTCTAAATGGAGTCAGAAAAACCAAGTTGCCCTGATTTATCTCTTAAAAAAATACACTCTATTACTTCCTCCTATAGGTATAAAAAGTCTGTTTAGCTCTTGACATGCTTTCTAATTTTAAGAAAAATATATTCGTGTGTTTTTCCACCCATAGAAATCTACTCTAAGATAGAAAATCACCATCAACAACAAAAGTTGTGCCTATACTTGGTCTATATGCCCTTTTTGCTCTATTCCCAGTCTTTTCTAGTCTTAATAAGCAAAAAGAATTGATCATCTCCAAGCCAATGGTTAATCCAGATGAAATATCTGATGTGGTCACTAAACCGTGTAGTGTGCAGGTTGCAACTATAGATTCCAGAGTCAAGACTGCCTGAATATGAATCCCTGTGTGACCACTGGCAAAATCCTCTTAGTTCTGGTTTCCTCCCCTGTGAACCGGTGTTGATAAAAGTTCCTCTATGATTTTTGTGAAGATTAAGGAATGTACTTTGTGTAAAGTGTCTGGCATATAATAGGCATTTAAAAAATGTTTGCCATCATCATTACTTAAGATTCTGAAATCAATTCATTCAAACACTTTTAAAAAGTGAAGCTACCAATCACTATATAACCATCAAGGATTAAACAGCTCTTTCATTCATAGTATCAATTTAGCTAAAACCAGCACAGTGAAATAAGGATCATTCTATTCTTAGAGATAGAAAACTAAGGTTCTGAGAAACAGCATGCCCAGTGTCTCTAAACTAGTTAATAACAGAATTAGAATTCAGACCCAAATACCCAAATGTGTCTATCTTTTTCACATTATAAATCAGGTAAGAACTGGAGCTATGGAACGGCTTTAAAGTGAGTAGCTACATGAAGATCCTATCCATCCTGTGTCAGAGAAAAGGCATGAATTAATCCATAAACCCAGAAATAAAAATACTCCATACCTTTAATGACCATAATAGATAACATACGTTAAGTGCTTTTCATGTGCCCATCATGGTTTTCTCTAAGGACTTTCCATATTCTAATTCATACAGTTTTCTTCACAGTCCTATGATGTAAACACCATTTCCTCCACTTTACAGATAAGGAAACTGAGGCATGAGAGGTTACACCTTGCTTAAAGCCCTCTAAATCATGCAGCATGTACTGTAGACTATCATCCTCTGTTAGTTCTAAGAAGATGAATGTGGAGTTGGTGAGGCTGGTGCATGAGGGGAGAGAGTGCATTAGTGCGAACTTCTCAGATCCACGGTCATTAGACTGAAAGCTGACAGTTTACCCACAAACTGCCCCTTGGCACAAGGAGCACCCCCTCCCAGGGCTCTGTATTTCAAAAAGCAAGCAGCAGACCACTGCAGTACTGATGGTGCTGTTGCCCATTCCCAAAAGGGCATTTTGATTCTGCTGGTTTCTTTGGCTACCAGTGTAATTAATCAGGTGTGGTTATTCATGAAGCCTTGAGATTGGTCAGACAGGCACAAAATGGGGTCTCCGTGCCAATATCATATTATGCGTAGTAATTTCCAAGCCTTGGCTTCTCCTTGTTTTCCTTCTCTCTCTCCATCAACCTTATTAATATTCACTCAGTCATCTACAGATGTTCAATTTTCTTTCACAGAATTATTAAAAGAAAGAGGGAAGAAAGAGGTTTTGTTCCCATACTTTATTAACTAAAGCAGGGGTGGGGTGGGCAGAACCTGGTTCCAATAACTGGTTCTATTTCCATTGTGGACAGAGACAATAATCTCTGATCATTTTTCACTCTTCTGGAATGTGCTGCAGAACAATTACAGCAAGTTGGTAAATTCTGCTGACAGATGAGATGACAAGATTGCAAGCGCTTTTCATCATTAGTTTTTGAAGAGGAGAGAGAAAAGTAAAATGAAAAACCTCACTCAATAGAAAAAAGGAAAATATGACAGGGCCTATAGTACCGTGTCCAAACATTTCAATGATCTGTGTGTTTAGCAGATGAGTCAGTGACAGACACAACCTGGCAGCATAAGGTTAATGATGATGAGCTTTCATTCAAATGACTAGGGCTCAGAAACCAAAACAAAGTTTAAAAATTAAAAAAAACAAAAAAACACCTGGTTGTGGACCCAGGGAATCTGAGTGTTTTTGGCCCAACTCTGCCACCAATAACTGTTTATGTCACTTACAGTTTTTCTGCTTCTCTCTCTCCTCACTTATAAAATGGAGATAATAATTCCTATTTGCCCTGTCTGCCTCACAGGATTCTAGGATAAAATACATACGAAAATGCTTTGTAAATGGTAAAAGTGAACTCAAGTAATAAGTGATAACACATACATAATAACAACTGCAATAATCATAATAATAGAAATAATTTTTACCAACCACTATGGGCCAGGCATTCAGCTAAAGGATTTAATCCTTGTAACAACCTAATGAAATAAATATAATGCCTAGGGTGCCTGGGTGGCCCAGTCAGTTAAGCCATATATTCTGCAGCTACAAAAACTAAATAGCTCTCAGGAAAGAGATCTTGTGGGCAGTTACGTGTAGGGGGTTATGGAGGAGGGTACTGACTCTAAATGGAGTCAGAAAAACTCCAACTCTTGATTTCGGCTCAGGTTATGATCTCAGGGTTGTGGGATCGAGCCCCACATTAAGCTCCAGGCTGGGCATGGAGCTTGCTTAATCTTCTCTCTCTCTCTCCCTCTGCCCCTCCCCTCCCAAAAAATTTAATGTCCATTTTACAGTTGTATAAATAGGCTCAGAGTTGTTAAGTCAGTTTTCCAGGGTGTTATACCTAGCAAGTTGAGGGCGTTCCAGACCCTATGCTTTTGACCATCACAAGTAACACCAGGCGAATGGATGAGCTTAAAATACTTTCTTGTGCCTTAATCATGCAGCAAACCCATCCAAGCCATATAAACAGTTCTGTGCATGTGCAGTTTGCTAATTGCATGTAAATGTGCCTACTTCTCATGCTGTTATTTTTTGAATTAATTATTTTAACAAGTAGCAGTGTTAGGTTTTGGTTGGCCAAGGACCTCCATACATTAAAGGAGACATGGAAAAATAGTGAAGGTCTGCAAATGGGCCCAAAGATAATAAGACTTGTATCATTAGGTAGTGTTTATATAGAGTAAAAAGAATCACCAAAATGTATAATTCACTGGATTGGAAGCTGGAAACTGGGGGGTCAAGCCTCAATTCTGCCTTTCTGTGCCCCCAGGGAAGTCCTTTTTACAACCATCAAAAACTACGTTGGATCTACTCTTGGTTCCCTGGGTCTATTATCTGTTAGATTGCAAAAGTGGGTTTTATTTGTAAAATGGCACAATTAAAGTATTTGGCCTCTAAAATCTCCTCCTCTCTGAGATTAGTGTGTGCCTATTACAGAGGCTCAAGAAAATCATGTGCTTGTCCAGGGTCACACCACATGTCAGTTACAGAACAGGATCAATCTACGTGCCTGGCTCCCAATCAAATGCTCAGTCTTCTCTACAACAGTTTCTGGAGGGAAGGAAAATGAGAAAAGACTGTAGGATTTAGAGTTGTTTCACCAGGACACATGAAAGATATATTAATGACAATTTAAAAGAAAGGCTCAAATGTGTATGAGAGCTTAACTGGGAGTAGAAAGATGAGGACATGGAGAGGCAACAGGAGTTTGGGTGATGCAAGAAGGAGGATTTCCCAAACAGAAAGCTATACCACTGGAATTACATTTTCCCAAAGTCAATGTAGAAGAAAATCCCCTCACAGTCAGGACTGATTGGCCACTGGCATCTCTATCCTGGATTATTCTGGAAGGCTCCTGATTGATCTCCTTACTTCTATTTTTTCTCCATACATTCTACTCTCTCCAGCAGAGCCAGGGTGATGATCCTTGTATGAGCTAAGTCAGCTTAGAACACATCAAGGGCTCCCATCTCATTCGGTGTGATCCTTAGACTGCACCTGCCATTTCCCCCTGCCTGGGACACATTTTTCCTAATATTTTTATGGCTTGTTTCCTCCTCTTTCTCCAAGTCTGTTCTCAAATGCCATCCAATCAGTGACCACCCTTCATAAAACTGTCTCCCACCAGAGGAATATAAATTTCTTGAAGAGAGGGACTTCTATTTTGTTTACCTCTCCATTCAGGGCCCCTCCAACCATGTGGGGCATCTAGTAAGCATTCAACAAATACTTAATAAATGAATGACCAAGACTAAATTACTGAATTTTTCTGAAAATTCATATGAAATTATTTCTAATTACTTGAGTTAGGAAAACAAAACTGGGAACCTTACAGGACCATGTTAATTAATTGGATAATAGCAGTCTGTAATAGGAAAATCAGTTTTGTCATAAAAGTCTTTTCAACTCCTAGCTCTGATGAGTAACTCCAATCCCTGCAGTTTTAATAATATTGTTAATTTATTTAACAAATTGTATTTCATTAATTGATTGTAATAAGAAACTTCATCCCAGCAGGATGAGAAAAGAAAAATATTTCTTGGGAACCTACTAAATGCCAGGTCTAGGCTAGTGCTTTATAGCAAAGGCAATATCTGTCCTCATTTGCAGATACAGAAACTGAAGCACAGAGATGAAAACAAAAAATATTTAAGCCATAGGTTCCCAAACTCTATTGTTTCAAATACTCTCACTGAACCTCAGTAATTTTTTCAAGGTACCCCTTGGCTAAAAACAAAACAAAACAAAACAAAAAGCAAACAAAACAGCCACAAACCAAACAGTTGTGTTGATTAAGCAGTTAGATAACAAAAATGGATAAAGTTGATTAAACTTAACAACCTAGTGCCTGGTGCCTGTTGCACACTGCATGACTTCTCAAATCTCGGAATATAACCAAAGCTTTCTTTTTATCATGGCAACTACCAAAAACCCAGCTTCACAAATATAGGATGTTATTAAAAGGAATATACCAACCTACTGTTTAAACTGTGAGCTCCTGTTGGCTATTTTTTCACATAATATCTGAGAGACATCTGTATGTTTCCCTTGAAATTTTAAAACATCTTGCAATGCTCCAAGGGCCCTTTCAGGCACAGTTTGGGATTTATGAAGTTAAACTTTAGACTTTTATCAGGCCTTAACTATTTTCCACGACCTGCTTTCAAAAGTATCATGTGCAACCAAATTAATGGGTTCCAATTACATTATAAAAGAATATAGATATAATAGATTTTTTCCAGGGTTGTTCTTACAAGAAGAAACTACTGTGTTTTGTTTTGTTTTTTGTTTTTTTGAATATAGATATTCTAACACCAAGATATTACCTCCTTCTACCCTACCCAGTTATCTTAATTTCTAAAATTAAATGTCTAACTCTGTGTCTTAAATGTACACTTCGCCCTCATTACTTGCAGACACCTTATTTGTGAGTTTGTCTATGCAGCAAAAGCTTCTTTGTAATCCCCAAAGCAATGCTTGTGTAGTTTTTCACAGATATGTACAACATGGCAAAAAATGTGAGTCACCTAACCTGTGTGTTTTCCCAGCTGAGGTCAAACAGCACAAAGTTCTGCCTTTTTGTTTCAGCTCTTATACTGCAAATAAGTAATCTTTTGCATTCATTTAATGCCACATATTTTGCATTTCTGTGCCTCTTGTTGGTGATTTCTCTGTTTACAATGGCTTCCAAGTGCAGTGCTGAAGTGCTGTTTAGTGGTCCTAAGTGTAAGAAAGTTGTGATGTGCCTTTACCGAGAAAAGGCATGTGTTAGATGAGCTTCCTTCAGGAATGAGTTATAGTGAGGTTGGCTGTGAGTTCAATGTTATTGAGTCAACAATATATACAAAATAATGTGTCTTTAAACAAAAACATGCATAAAACACAGCTAAATATTGATCAGTGAATGAAAATGTAACCAGAGGCTCATAGGAACCTAGGATGTTCCCCTAGGAACAGTGTTTCAGTATTCTCTAACTCAGTGTTCACAGCAACGTTATAGGATATAACTACTGCAAATCATGAGAATCAATGGTATGGTGCTGTGCCAGACTGGTCTGTTCGCTTTTTAAATTACCATGCTAGGGTAATTTGTAAATTCTTTCGTAGCTGATAGATCACCAAGGACAAGTCTAAGCAAGAAGCGAACAAAAAGAAATAGTCTCACAGCAGAGGGGCAGAGTAGACCTGTTCAAGGGAGAAGTGGGGTTCTGAAAGGTGAGGTTAGGATACAGGAAAGATAGTTCTGTCTACTTCAGAGGGTTGCCTGGAGCTGCCGTGGAGTGCCTGGATACCAACGTCACATTAAATATGTACTGATCACTGCGAGGCAAGGTGATGGAAAACTTAACCCTTCAGGGTCTGTTCTGCATTTATTTTTTCAGGGAAAAAGATTTCTTATTTTTACAAAGTATAAACAACACTCTGGAGGGAAGGAGGCATGGCCAGGTTTGCTGGGAATGAAACAGTTCTAATTGTCTCACTGTCTTTCTTTAGAAATAGTGCAAAGGATTTTTTTTTTTTAAGTAGACTTAATCATTATACTCAAAAAGCAAAGCAAGATATTAAGTACAAAATGAAGCCATGTGGGTGCTGAATGGAGAAGGATTTTAAAAATATCAATTTGTACATACTGTACATTTCTCTCTTAAGTTTTACATGGTGTGAAATCCATCTGATCAGATGCCTTGAAATGTCGAGATGTAGGAATGACACTTCATGCAACAAAGATATGGCATTTTATCTAAAATTATGTTTTTTTACAGCTCATGAATGAGTAAATGAATGATGGCTATAAACTTCCCCAGCCCCCCAGATGAATGGTTGTCACAAAAATGTGAAGGCTAACAAAGCAGAAAAATGGCAAAAGAGGGAATATGTCTTGAGGATTATAGTGGGATTTAGTGTCAAATGCTTTGAAAACATAACTCTCATGGTCTATTACCTATTTCACAAGTTAGTATGTAATGGGAAAAAATGATCTAATTTGTTACAATTTTAAAAGCCTGACTACCTATCTTTTCCTTCTTCTCCAATTCTCATCCCTTTTCTGTCACCTTCTTTATCTCCCCGGGTATCTGTTTCCTCCACCACCACCACCACCACACACACACACACACACACACACACACACACACACACCATTAACCACTGTGCCAGACAATGCACCACAGTGAAGGGAAAATAAAAACACAGCCTTTGCTTTCCAAAATTTCACAGCCTAAAGAAGGTAAAAGACATAAAAGGGAATAATGTAATAAATACTATCATAAGCAGAAACAGTTATACATAGTTAAAGGAGATGGTCAATATTTTTGATGGAGAAAATTTGAAGGTTTCAGTCAAGTCTTGCAAGGTGGTAAGAGTTTGACAGATCTAAAATGGGCAAGTTAGAAGAACAGGAAATACATCTGATAGCCTCCAAATTCCAACTATGAATGCCACATTGTTAAGTATAAAGAGAATCGTCTGATATAACTTATACGATGATCTGAACACTTTGAATTGATCATGAAATTATTATGAAAGACAGACATATTTAACAAGAAAACAATCAAGCTGAATTTAAAGACAAGAAAATTCGAAGATGCTTTTTGTGCTCCCAAGTGAAGGCGTTTGATAATGTTTCAGGGGAAGCATGGATGCCAACAAAGAGGGAATAGAGACTCTTCCTGGTGATACTCTACTCCACCTGCTCAGATCACCATGGAAGCACCATGTTGCACTCTGGATACCACAGCTGAAGAGGATCACTCATGAATTTAATGACCTCAAAGATAACAAGATTCAGAGGAGAATTAATGCCATAGATGAAATACTCAAAGTACTAGTTATATATTGTCCAAAGAGAACAAAATACCACAGATATTATTTGGTTATTATTGTCTTGCAGTGTTTGAGGGTATATTAGTTTAGATGTTCAGTGATCACCCTGAGAGAAAGGTTATCAGAATGCAGTCAGCAGATACCTTGTGGTTTTATTGAGCAGCCTCAGAGACAACTGTAGAGGATGAAGGTGGGGATGCACTCCAGTGCTATCTCATCCAGTATGGTAGACATGAGCTACAATGAATTACTGAGAACTTTAAATGTAGCTAATGCCACATGTCAAAAATGGTAACATTTTGGATACATTTGATTAAGTTAGATATATTATTAAAATTAATTTCAACTTTTTTTTTTTCCAATGTGTCTACTAGAAAATTTGAAATTACAATTGTGGCTCACAGTGTATTGCTATCAGACAACATGTTCTCATGTTCTTATGATTGTCACTGCAGAAGCCCCATCTCTGCTTCAGCTGTAATAGCCACAAATGTATTTGTGTCATCAATTATGCTTTTGAATATTTAAGTTTATTTTAAGAAAGAGATCTATGGGTAAGAAAATTATTTGAAAACCATGCCAAATTGTTGGCAAGGTAAGGAGAAAACAAAATCTCATCTTACAATGAAATATTATGTAGCAGTTAAAAGGAACTAGGGAAGCTATGTGTATTAATGTAAATAAATGAAGGTACATTGTGGGTGAACAAAGCAAGTTGTAAATGATACTTATGTTGAGTTTTAAAACCTACTATATGTTTTCTAGCATATGTCTCTATATAATCACTTGGACAATCGTTTGGAAGACTCACAGCTGACAATAGAAGACTGAACATGGGAAGATAGTAGGGTGAGTGATGGGAAGAGGTTTGCTGCAAAGTTATACAGCCTTATTTATAAGATTGTAATTATTTGTTATAAAGATAATGTGACTGTGTATCAGATTATTATTATTATTTTTACTACTACTACTACTACTACTACTACTACTACTACTACTACTACGCTGGGTTCTCTTCCTTTCTTTCCATCCCATGGCTTTTTGACCCTGATGGGAAAATGTTAGCCAGAGAAGCACATGGATAATAGCAGGGGCCCCTGAAAGTTAGTATCAAATTTAGACAACAATGCATGCAAGAAATAGGCAGAGTATCACTCTTCAGGTTATTCAGTGTGAATCTAGGCTTGTTGGGATCACTTGTCCCTTTTGTCTGACTAAACGGTCCCCCTTGTCTGACTAAATGAGGAGCTAAACAGCTTAACAAGTTAAACTAAGTAATTAAAACAACAAAAGTAAATTCTTCGGAGTCCACACCAGAAGTTCTGATCAGCTCCAACCTAGAGAGGCCTTACATACCCTGATCATCAGCACAGCTTTTCTGATGTCTCGAACACCATCATACACTAGGCGAGAGGCATCAATGAACTCATTCTCTTCAAATGGTTGAGGGACGTTGGCACTCAGGGCTTCAATAGCAACCTCTACTTGCTCGGCAAAGCGTGGCATCACTGCATTAAACAAAGTGAGAAACAATGTATTAGGTGAACTTTCTCTCATGCTCCCTGTTCCAGCCCTTGGGCAAGGTGGCATGCTCCATGTATTCCAACAGCTCAGTGGAGCTGTGTGCCTACCTGTCCAGTTTGGGGTGGACCCGATTCAGTGGTCTTTGTACCACTTACTTTCAGCAGAGGAAGTAAACCATTACTCCACGAGTGGTGATGTTATGCAACGGCAAGTTTTGAAACCTGCTCAGGATTGTGTGGTATAGTGTATATGCGTACATATTTTGTGTTATTATAACCTGAGTTGAATTTCATTTATGCTAGTTACTAGCTATGAAACCTTAGCCAAGTTTTCTTAACTCCTTCTAAACCTGCTTCTTTGTCTACAAAAGAAATCTATAAAATCTTAAGTTTCAATGAAATAATGCATACACATTTATTGGATGGTATTTGGCCCTCAAAAAGCTTGATAAATATTTAATTAATATCATATGCTGAAGTCATAGGTGATGAGCAATAGATTTTAACCTGTAGGACTTCATAGTAACAGGTGAATGAAGTGATCCAACGTATTCCACTTTTGTTGAAATAGAACTTGAGATTGGAGGTAGGGGGATGGCAGTGGAGGGAGGCTCGCAGAAGGACCTTACAAGAGAGGAGAGGGAATCCCAGGGCACTCCAGCACTAAGCCTAGGGTTAGAGACCAGTAGGCTCAAAGCTGAATTCAGTTTTGTTTCATTTTACCAGGACCATTTTGATGTGAAAGAAGATACATATATAAATTCCTAAAATGTTAGCACCTCTTTCTTTAAACATTAAGACACCTACATACATAGTGGAGGTTTGTGGAAAGTAAATTCAGTGGAATGTCTGGAATACTTCCACTGGCTACTTAAAAAATGCTGCTAATTCACTGATTCTTGAAAATTATAATTCAATTTTCTCAGGTTTTATCTTGTAACAACCAATTCATATGGCAAATGAAAGCCAAAAGCACAATTCATTTTATTTACAAGGACAATAAAATAGAAACATCATTCATCCATTTTCCATTTCTGAACCTTCATGCCTGATTCATCTTTTTACTCATTTTCATCCTCTGTGGATACTTTAACATCCATTTTAATCCCTAGTGAGAGAAACTCTGCTAAATTACTTTACTTTCTAGGGTCAAGGTATTCAAGATAAAACCTTCCTAGAAAAATGTATTTCTACTAGGAAAAGTCCAGCGTTTAAAAGTATATTAAAAAAAAAAGAGGAGGGTTACAGGAAAATGTTCTTTCAATAGAAATGATCAAAACCAAAGCATGCATGGGGTGAATTTCCTTCTGTGAGTGAATTACTAGGACTGGTTCTCTATACCATTTGAATTTTTCATTTGTGCCTTTGAAATACTTTTACATAAAAGGAATTTGGTGGACATTGAGTTGTACTGCTGTAAAAATCAAACAAAAATATACTCCTAAAAACTACCACATTAAACTAAGGCCATTCCAGCTATCCATTTGTGTTGGGAATAAACTGTTTTACATGACTAAATAATCTAGATCATTGGAATTGACCTCCCTGGGCATGAAAATATTGTTACATGTATTTGGTATTTTCCCATGAGTATCTTTCTTAAATGAAATTACAAATTCCCTTCCCTTCCTAAACTGAAAATTCTGAATATTAATTTCATTCTATTTGATGTCTAAGTGCCATCATGACCATCAACAATTTTACAGATTTGTATGGTACCATCAGTAGCAGTTAGCTGCCTGAAGTTTTTTCCGTATCATTTCACTGAAAATTAGTTCTACATGTACATAAAATAACTACTCCTACAAATGAATTGGCAAAATATAGAAAAATAGACCAAGGATTAGAACAGGCAATTCACAAAATACTAAATCCCATATTATTGATAAATACATGACACTTCACTAATAATTGGAAAACTTACAGTGTAAACAATGAGAGATCATTTCATACCTCTTGGAATGGGCAAATAAACTAAAGCTTAATAACACCGATCTTACTGAGCATGGGGAAAGAAGGGAACCCTTCAAATGGACACACATCATTCTGGTAAACACTTTGACAAAATCTAAGAAAGTGAAGCCTTCCAGTCCCAACCAGTGAGCTGAGACATTTTCTACAGTATAGCCAAATATTGACTTCTAAAGAGGCACTGATTAGGAGGGCTGAGTACATTGGAGTCATAGGAACATCTTTTTGTCTCTATGGTTATAGTTGTTTCTTAATAGGTTGAATATTCCAAGAGTTAATAAGAGTTATATTAAATCTAGGAATAAAAGTAACAGCTTTAAGGCATCCCTTCCAACTGGCACTATCCCAGGACTGTTGAGTCCACTAAGTGGGATGCTGGGGAGACACAGGAAGCTGTTCACTCCAGGTTCATGGGCAGTACATCAGGATGGAACAAAATGGACTTCGGGATGTAACTCAGGAGACAGCCAATGTAGTCAAGTGAGTAAGTTCTAAGGTCAAAGTGTTGACCAGGAAAAGCAAACTGAAAAGAGATATCATTTGTGAGAAATTTAAAAATTCATAAAAGAGTACTGTGCATAATTTAAACATATACACATTTTACTACACATGTTCTGAAAGTATGTATATCACCTTAAGTACAGTGGTTGCCTTTGAGGGGGACGGAGGGACATGGGATGAGGCAGAGGTCTTAAGGAGGCTTCAAGTATATCTTAATTCTTAAGAAAATAGTAATGTGAATCAGATATTGCAAAATGTTAATATTTGTTACACCTCAGGGTAGAAGCAGGGTCTCACTTATATTAGTCTCTGTTCCTTTTTACTTTGAATCTTCTCATGATTCAAATATTTTTAAAAGATCAACACATTATCCTCAAGACTGTACTTTTTACAGAATAAGGCTCTGAAAAAATAAAGTTCTAGCTCTTGGACCAGAATGTAAAAGAAACCATTTTGATCAACAGTATTATTTAAGTCTCTCAGAAATTGTGACTGTGATCAAATGCCTAATATTCGACCTTAATTAATAACTGCCCACTACAGAGTTGAGTTAGGTAGGGGTGCCTGGGAGGCTCAGTTGGTTGAGCATCCCACTCTTGATTTCGGCTCAGGTCATGATCTCAGGGTTGTGAGATCAAGCCCCCCTTCAGGTTCCACGCTCAGTGGGGAGTCTGCTTGGGGTTCTCTCTCTTCCTCTTCCCCCTCCCCTCACCCCCATTTCTCTCTCAAATCAATCAATCAATCAATCAATCAATCAATCAATCAATCTTTAAAAAAAGGTTGAGTTAGGTAGTACCCACCCACTGGACCCTGGCTCTTGGGCACACACCTCTATTTTCATAAAGAACTTCGATGGAATATAAAAGGGTGATCAGTGTTGTTGTGTGGCTTTGTTCTGTTTGTGCAAGATTGTTTGAAGAAGAGCTAAGGAGGAGGAAAAAGCAGGAGGTGACATGTTATCTTTCTTCACCAGCCTCCAGGTTTGATTCTGTGCCCAAGGGAGAGAGAGGAGAGCTAAAACCTAAAAAGGGACCACTTTCATAAGGGTTGCTCTGGGGCCCGAAACATGCCTAGGACTGCTCTGAAACCCCAAGTTTGGAGAAAGGCATTCTGTTTGCTCCAACATGGAGTATAGAATCTCTCTAGGAAGACTGAAGGGGTGGCATGTTGGTGTGAACAACACTGTTGTGGATGTGGCATTATCAGAAGAGGCAGAAAAAACAAAGTTCTTTAATAAAAAGATTGGAACAGAACATAACATCAACCTTCTAAGGGAGAAAAAATGGTGGGAGAGGAGGTACAGAATCCTCACTTTACAAATGGGGGCTCAGAGTTAAATTTATCCTTAATATTCCAATGATCTTATTAGATTCATCAACCTGATAAAACCCACAACTTGAACTAATTCAGTTTTATTTACTTTAACCAACTGAGCCACCCAGGAGCCCAGTTTTATTTACTTTAACTGAGAAGACATTCATTTCTCTTACCTCAAGTCAGTGTTTTTCTGGGTCTGACCCTCAAGAAAATCTTTCTCCGTGCTCTGCTCTTAAGCACATTCAATACTCATTTATTTATGGCTTGGTCAACTGCTACCACTCTTTAACCAATATACCTTTGCTCTCCATGCTGCTGCACTTTTTCTTGTTTTAGTTTTATACTGTTTTGTTTTCTAAAGTGATAAGACAGAAAAAAGTTCATAGAACAATGATCCATCTTGACAGAACCTAAGATATTAAGCTATGAATTCTTCTAACGCCTCTGGTAATGTCTGAGAAATTAAATATCCCAAAAGTAATACTGAGATAGAAAAAGTCTGAAAAAATATATTTATTCATATACTTCAAATATGATGCTGCTTCTGCTTCCCACTAATTAGGACAGAATACAGCATTGCCTTTGTGATTCACACATTATATATTAACAGAGTTTTTGATATAGGATTATATAAATAGAAGTTTCTTTGTAGTTTCTGAATTACATCCCAAAATGTAGACACCACTTTACTGTTATTTATCAGAAATACTGAATTGCTCTTAATAGCTTATACCCTGAAAGGGTGACCAAATTTGGAAATAAACTTGTAAGTTCTTGTTTTACTTTTGTATGCAGAGTGCACACTAGGCCACAGAATGATGACATTCCAAGAGTACTGAAATCAGAGTTCAGCATGCATATAAAAATCAAGGTCGCCTCATTCTAGTGCCTACTGAGATCCTAAAACAGAGGTGAGGAAGATCTAGACTTAATCCTCCAGAGAGACATTAGAAGTGACGTTTCAGAACACAGAGTGAATCAGTAAAACGAACAAGAAGTCTCACTAAAGATACAAATAGGCCTGCTGACAACCATAAGAGCAAAATCTAAGGTTAACTAGAGGTAGTGGAAATGAATGGCCAACCAACTCCACTGCCCCTGAGTAAACACCTAAAAGGTCCACATCTAACTTTAAACACTCCAATGATTCCCTTTAATATAGAGGGACTCTAAAATCTTCACAAGATACAAACACA